ATAACTGGACCTGGGATGGTGGAATTAGGAAGTCCTGTGAGGAATGTGTTTGAGAAATCAAGGCCGGAGGTGACATAAACCACATGAACTGCGCAAATTCTACCCTTCTGAAGATTACTGAAAGGGCTTGCAGCCAGAAGGATACTCTCCTACTGGTGGTCTGCCCCTGAAGCCATCTTGTGTGTCAACTTGGTTCAGTTGGTAGAATCAGCGCCTCTGAATCAGACGTTGTGATTTCAAACCCCACGCTGACACTCCAGTGCAGTGTTTGGGTGCTGCTGCCTTGTTGGAGGTGCCATCCTTCGGATGAAACATTAAACAGGCCCGTCTGCTTGTTCAGGTAAATGTTAAAGATCCTATAGCACTATTTGAAAAGGGAGTTTTATCCTGGGTTCTTGGCCAAAAGTCTCCCAATAAAATTGGTAATTAATTTCATAGCTGTTTGTGGGACATTGCTCTGTGCAAATTGGCTGCTACATTCGCCCACATAAGAAAAAGTAAGTCCACTTTACAGTATATCCTGTGAAGCACTTTGAGATGTCCTCCCTATGTTCAACTGTACCAAATCCGAGGATTATTTTTATTATATTTCAATACAGGTTCTAAAAGTAATCCCACGTCAGTTTTGTCTATTTACGACTCTCAACCACTTCACCAAACACAGGATAATAGTGCATTGAAAAAGATACCTACGATATGTGTCCCAAATGGAATAATTGTGGATTAGCCTCTGTGTTGAACTGAGAAAATACCAGGTAGTCTAAGCGCTCTGAGACGCTACCCTGTGTGAAGGGCAGTATATAAGTACAAGTTGTTGTTGTTGTTGATCCCTAGCGGCTCACTCAGCAATATTCTCCCTCTCTCCCAAACATAACTCTCCCAAGAGGGTGGAGATCAGATCAACATAAGAAGGGAACTAAATGCAGCACCTTGCCTGATGCCTGTAAATGAACAGACCACTAGTTGATGCAGACTGGACTCCTTGTTCTTTCCAGTTCAACCAAGATGAAACACATAGCTTTAACCTTTACCATTGCACTGCTCCAATATGCAACCATGCTGACCCAATCAGACAATACAATCTCTTGCAAATACCATATACTCCAGACATCCAGTCATTCTCAACATCTTTATATGCTTGTAAACTCTGCAAAAAATTGATAAAACCAATAAATAACAATTATAGATGGCACAAATGTTCTGAATTATTTTGATCTGTGCTGAAAATGTTTGTTTTTCCATATTATATAGCAAAAACAAGAGGATGCATTTTGAAACCTGTTAAAGAATCAGTACTTAGAGTTAACTTTTCCTTTGTTTAGCCTAATACTATTAACAAGCATGGTTTTTTTGAATTCCAGCTACTGAAATAGCCTCCCAATTTCAGATACTGTATATGTAATTTTTATTTGTAAAAAGGGTTTTCTTCCCCCCTACACAAAATTATACAGAAGTAGGAATCTAGTTTAAATTCCTTACAATGAATACCCCATATTCAAATTCCTAGATTTCCTATTCCAACCGATGATTTGACCGATGGCTTTTGAGTCTCTTTGCTTGAAACACAGAATATTGATTCTGTTCCATTGATTGCCTTACAGACTCTACCCAAAGGCACTTACAAACCGCTTATTAGTTTCAATATGAACTTATTATAGTAGTCTTTAACAAATATGAGGATCCTGAAATAGGAAGGAATTAACTTCCACCTTTTTCCGAGCAGTTTTTAATAGAGCTGTAATTGAACCCAAATTGCGCCGTTAACAGAAATTGAAATGCTCTTGCCTATCTGTAATAATCATCCTTGCATTTGATATAGTGCTCTTCTCATCTTCTAGATGTCTCAAAACACATCACAGAATATCCTGTAAAGTGAATTGACTGTATACTTTGTGGGCGAAACGTGGCGTACAGCAATTGGCTACCACAAACAGTCGTGGATTGAGTGACAAAATTATTATTGTTTTCTTTATTATCTACAGAAAAGCGATCCACCAATCGACTAACAACCGTGTTCCAACTTGCTGCCAGGTAAACAGACACATGTGGAGTAAGGAAAGTTGACCAACGTTTTGCCCTGTGGGGAATTGAACCCAGGTCTCTCGCTTGTGAGGCGAGTGCTCTAACCACTGAGCTACAGGACTCCATGTAAAACTATAGTCACATATATAATTAGCAACATTATTTATTTATTGAGTTCCATAGCTTTTGGAGCATGGTGGCTAAAAGCATGGCCGCCAATGCTGGAGCAAAGAGGACACGAGATGCGTAGGAGGCTGAAGCCAACTGAGGGATGGTAAATAATAATAAACATGCATTTGATATAACGCCTTATCATGTCTTTGAGACATCTCAAAGTGCTTCACAGAATATACTGTAAAGTGAATTGACTATATTTTGTGGGCAAAACGCAGCAGCCAATTGCGCACATCAGTGTCTTACAAACAGTCATGGATCGAGTGCCAAATTCTTCTTCTGATTTTTTTTGAAGAGATTATTACCCCCAGAAAAGCGATATGCCAATCGACTAACAGCCAGGTGCTTACAAACTGCTAAGTAAACAGAGGCATGTGGAGTAAAGAAATTTACCCAACTTTTTGCCCTGCCCTGGGAATCAAACCCATGTTCTCTCGCTTGCGAGGCAAGTGCTCTAACTGCTAAGCTGCAAGACTCCGCAGTGGCCTATTTATATTGCGCCCTTCATTGGGGATATAAATAGGCCACTCTTGGCTCAGCTATCTCCACATGCAATCCAGCCCATGTTACTATTCTACTCATGTGTAATGTGGCCCATGGACCACGAGCTGCCCATCCTTGATCTAAGATGATGAGCTCAATTGCCAACATGGTGGTTCAATCCACACCTTAGTAACTAGAAACAAGAATGCTACCCACTGAGTTAAGCTGACAACTGGAGCAAGTCGACAAGATGATTTGTTTCGAGGTGAGATAAGGATTTCCATATGCAGACATTGAAAATTCATGGGATCGATTAATGATCATCGTGGATGCCTTCTGTAGGACATAACAATTGATCAAAGATGTGTGTGAGAAATGGCACAACCCAAAATTGAATGCAGTGCCAGAGGTAATTCTTGAACCCATCAAATAGCAATCTTACTATGCATATGATTCCAATTATCTTAATGTCACCTTACCATTTTCTAAGTTATGTGCACTTGCCCAAAATAATGTTGTGCCTCACCAATTTATCTGGCCATTATCTCTAAAGATGTGAAACAAAGTCAGCTGCACACTGCTCTTTTGAAGCGATATATTTCCCAGGAACTTTATTCAGACATATTTTGTGATGCGCAATAACCATTATCTGCATATCAACTCTGCTCCAATACATTGTCTATATGTGAAGGTAAGATTTCTGTAATTGTGTTCTAAATCGGCAAGGGTTACACTGACATCTCCCTGTGCTGCAAATGCCTGACCTTTCTACTCATCAACAACAGCATTGATCCCTCCATTTTTGACAAAGCTGTGCAAGATGAGACTCAGAATAACAATTTTGCTGACTACAAGCGGAACACATCCAGAGGTAATGAGCACATTCTCTATGTCAGAAAAGACATTGACATAAGGGCATTTGAACAGTGAGAAATTGTCACCTGATGCCCCAGAAGTTAGACATTTTTAGCACAGGAAACCAGTGTATCCTGCTTCCGATTGTACAGAACCACAAAAAATCTGGGCTATAAGCAAGGCAGCTCAATATGGTGCGGTTTGTGTGCGTGCCTATAACTGGTTCCCTTGGATTAATGAGGTACATTGGGCAAACTGCAACCACTCCATACTCAAATGGTTTAAGCAGAGGAATCTCTACTTTAGCCCTTCAAATTATGCTCAGTTATAAGTGAAGAGTGAATATGTGGCTACTTATAGATTATAGTATTGCTACATTTTGTTGAGTTTTAGACAATATTTCTAATTGCAATTTCATTCACTTTTGTGACTCCTCTGCCGACTTATGAAACATTACAAACTGAAAAACTAGACTGGGTGATACAAATTATACCAACTATCTTCATATTGTCATGCACCTAATGTTTCATCAGACAATTCTAGATGAATGATTTGGGGAATAATTTTCTAAATGTTGCATCAATATACTGGAACTGTGATAGATAGAAATATAATTTTTTTCAGTTTACAAAATCTTAACTCTTGTTTTAATGTGGACACTGAGGATCATGAATTAGCTACTTGAAGAGGAGGGAATGAAAGACAAGAGTCTCTCATACGATCTACACATTTAATAAATTTTTAGAACTTTTCCTCTCTTTTGAGTGCAGAAAAGTTGAACTCCATTACCAAACCAAATCTTAATTTTCATAAACGTTCTCTATCAGAGGCCATTTATACAACAACAGACTTAAAGATTCAAATTGCTTCAGGTCTGCTCCCTCAATCAGTTATGATTGGTAGACTATTATTGTTTATCAAATCTCAGAAAATCAAACTCTGTTTATTTTGAATTTAATTCATTTAGTTCACTCATTTCCATAGTTTTCCATGACTAAAACGAGAAATACAGGAATAAAGTAACAATTGTTTAACAATGTTGAAATATATCCAGTGTATAATATTTTACCATATGAAAAATCTGCCTATAAAACGCATGAATTCTTAAACATTTTATGTATTATTATGATTTATTATGATTTCCACTCTGCAAAAAAAATTACTCATTTTAAGAACATAGATTTTTAGTAACAAAAATGATTATACCCAACAAGAATCTACCTTAAATCTTACTATTTTTTAAAAAATACCATATTATACAAAAGTATCATAACAGTTATTTGATCTTTGCTGTGTTACACTTGTCAATTCATTCAAAGAAGTTTCACTAATTACGATTTTAGATAATTTCTTGGTAAACATTAGTGGAAGTTTCAGTACCGAATTTTGATTACTTTCAATACCCTTTCCACCTCTTTCGTAGGTTCACCCGCGCCCCCCCTCCCCTCCCATTCTGTTCTTTGTCATCATTTTTTCAAATCATGTAAATTTTGTTTCACTAACATATGCTGTATATACACTTCAGAGCCAAGCATACACGTATCAGTTTCTTAATTGTCACCACAGACAGTTTTGCCATCTTACCACACATACAAAATTACATTTCTATAGTGCCTTTCACGTTGGGAAGGCGTCCCAAGGCACTGGGACATCCTCCCAATGTGAGCCTTCAATCTTAAACCTCCAATGCTTCTTATGTCTCTCTCTGATCTTCTTCTTTGACTAGGATTTCTTTGTACTGTGTAAACAACCCATCACCCCTCAAACCACCCCCGCAAAAAATACAGAAAGCATTATACGTGTCAGATAGCAGACGATATGGAAGCCCCTACTGATGGCTAGGGAAGGAAGTAGGATACAGAAGCTGAAGAATCCCATCATTTCCTTTTTGTCATAGTAGCCCTGAGAGGCAGGTCCGCTTCCACCCATTTAGTAGGTGTGTATAACATCTTGTTCCAGAGAGCTATTTCTTCTTCATTTGAGTCCATCCAGTCTGCACGTCGATTGTAGCTGAACCCTACAGGGGAAAACAACAAGATGATAATTCATTTGAAAGCAAATCTATGATGCTTAAACACTTAGGTTTCTTAAACTAGAATCCTTACCATACCCTTTCTAATCAAATGGAAGCTCATCAACAACTATGGGCTATTTCAGGAGGAGACAATATCAAAAATGTTGAAGGTTAATGCAGAGATATGTTCTCCGGCTTTTTGTTTCTGCTTTGTTATTTTTATTACAATGTAAATTCAGTGTTCTGTTCAGTTCTCATGATGGTAATAACTACTTGTATTTATATAGCACCCCTCACACAGGGTAGCGCCCCAGAGCACGTGACAGTGGAGGAGCATGATGCTGAGCCGTGGGGAAGGGCGAGGTGACCAAAGGCACGGTCAAAGAGGAAGGTCTTCAGGCGTGATCTGAAGATGGGAAGGAAGGGGCAAAGTGAAAGGATACAGGAAGAGTGTTCCAGAGTTTCGGCGTTCCAAGCCAAATTAAAAATGTTAACCTGTCTTTTTTTCTTTCTGATTCGCATCGGTCTGTTATCCCTTTCATGTCTTTGCTGTTGTTATTTTAGCTTTGAATGCCTTTAGATATCTAACTCCTGTATGTTCCACTATTTCTAATCTGTCTTGACCAAATTCTCGATAGAAGCCTGCAGATTGTCCATACCTGTACCAACACCAAGGCGAATTCCCCCAAGAAACTGGTTTGAAAATAATTCATGATGCCAGATCGACAGTTCCACACAAGCCTCCATGATTTCATTCATCTTGAAGCCATCATACACCATGGTGTGGTTATAGATGGGATTGAACGTTTTCTTTAGCACTTGGGTCTTCTGACAGCTCCTCTTACTGGTATCTGGTAAAATATAACTGGAACAAAAGCAGCAATACGAAAATGTCAGTGCACATTATTGTGTCTAGTGTACCTAAACCTTAAGAAATAATAATGTTTCTATGCATTTGTCCTGGAATTGTGCTTTGAGGCATCAACAAATTTTATTCAGGGCCAGTTTGGTGTAGGCATTCTCTACTCAGACACATTAATCATTTAGTTACAAAACACACTACCAAATTACATTTATATAGCGCCTTCATGTCGGGAGGATGTCCTAAGGCCTGAAAAATCTGTTTGATGTAAAACCAGGTGGAAAATGTTGTAATTTTATACAAAATTTCGGAGTAAATTCAGACCTTTTTATTGTTAAGAACTGCGTTACTTTCAGATGCTCCAATATGCTATATTTGATCAACATCATATGTAACATATAGCTGCTTGGGAGGAATTCTCATGATTACCATTGTTTATCTAACTCCCTTGTGCTAAAGAGACACAGAAACACAAGGAATCACCTCTTTTCAAAGATTAAAAGAAACTGTAAAATCAAAACTGTCTTTTCCAAATTGGAACTTTCCAGAAACATGCTGTATTAGATAAAAAGCAGCATTCATAAGAAAATTACTTAAGTTCATCAACTGTAGTGAAAGGAACAGCTAACAGCCACAAAACTCCTTTTCTAATTCAACTCACAGAATTTTTTTTACTAAAAGCAAAACTCTAATTCCTTTTCAAGTGGGACTATCCTTTTCAGAAGTGTTTCTTGGGCAAGGTATCCTATGACCCAATGTAGCAGGAAATCTCAAACTTATAATACAATTGATTCAGTATCAGAGCTCATTGGCTTGAATCATTTCTGTCATTGAACTTAATCACTGATGTTCTCTACAGTGTTAAAAGGGAAATGGGAAGAGATGAAAACTGATCAAAGCTCTTTAAACTCAGATCCCAGTTTCAACCAGAAATCTGTTGTGTATAAGGTATTTCACTTTGCCGTAATCTCAGAAATTATTGGCAATCTGAAACCGACGTTTTCAGCCCTTTGCCATTGCCATTGAAGACCTTATTCTATTCCCCTTAGTTAAATACAGGGCAATCTTGTTATAATGTGGTTGTCTGGGTCTAATACCTCAGTGGTCGCTTCACAAAGATTTACAAAGAACGTATAGCACGGAAACAAGCCGCTTGGCCTAATCATTCTGTGCAGTGTTTATATTCCACGCAAGTCCTCACCCATTCCTAACTACCTCCCCAACCCTTCTATTCTCCTCTCCCTCATGTGAAGATCGACATTTATAAATGCAAAATAAATGCCTGACTTCCACTGTCTCAAAGAGAATTTTAAATCTTTTTGCTGAAATTTTAAATCTTTTTGTTCAAATTTCAAATCTTTTTGATCAAATTGTACAGATCCAAGTCTCTTTGGAGAGCACATAAACAAATATAAATTCTACATTTACAACGACGACTTGCATTTATATAGCACCCTTCATGTGGGGTAGCATATTAGACCGCTTGAGTTTAAAACTGAAAGCGGTTTAAAAATTTAATAAAATTCTTTTGGCATTACAACAAAATCAGTCCTCTTAACTAAATTCTTGGTGTTATGCAGTGCGTTAAATGCTTTTTTAATTTATTCTTTGCACATTTTTAGTGATGCCTTTAAAATGTAATGGTATGGAACATTATATTATTCGGATTCTAACTCACCATCTCACAAACGAGTCTACACCACCGGGTTTTATAGGATATAATTCCATTGCTGCTTTCAACCATATGTGAATTTCTCCTGAGTCTGGTTTATTTCCATCTAAAGTAATTTGCAAAATACACATTATCAGTTTTTTTATAAATTGCTTCAAGAAATCCTGAATAACACAAAATATCTGCCTCTTAAGCTTCAATGAATGATTATGTGTACTTTCTCATCAAAATGTAGATAGGCAGAAAGATTAAAGGATAAAGATTTAAAAACCAAGCTCTTGATCCTGTCAGGCTTTCCTTAAATTCAGAACACATGCAAGACTGTTATTGCTATTTGATCATATCTGAAGTGAAATACAGTATGCAATTTCTTTAAACAACTGAATTCATCTAGTCTTAAAAACACACACAAAACAAATTACTCTTTTCATATGAACAAAATTAATAGCAGTACCAAAGGGGGCAAATCTTTTTTTCCTGGATTCAATTTAATCTGTCTTGTGAAGGGAATAATAAATGATACACTTAGCACATCAACTTGTTATTTTAATAGTTAACTGTTCACCTTTATTGTCACATTTATATTGGTACTTCACACTGAAGTACCAGACTAGCACTGTAGAACCATAGAAATTTACAGTACAAAAGGAAGCCTTTCAGCCCATCATGTCTGGTTTAGCTCTGTAAAAGAGCCAGCCATTTATCCATTTTCCTGCCTTGTTTCTTTTTTACGACAACAACTTGCATTTATATAGTGCCCTTCACACTAGGTAGCGACTAGGACCGCTTAATTCACAAAATAAAAATCTGGGTATTTTTCACAGGAGTTTGGGGCCTTTTTTCTGTCAAATAGGGCAATAACTGGAGGGAGAAAATGTAAGAAAAAAACTGTATTTATGAAAATTAAGATTTATTTTGAAACATTCCCTTAACGGGTGCTAATTGCAATATTAATTTCAGAAGTGCTCACGCAGCAAAGATAAGATGGTTTCAGCATCGTGGGGCATGCTGAACCCCCACCCCCCCACTGCAATGCCGGTCCCAAGAATGCAATGCATGGCTGGAGCCAGCTTAACTCCATCCCCGGACCTTTCCATGCGCATTCCCAGACACACTGCACTTTACAGTAAAATCCTGTGAAATGTTTTGAGACATATTGACGATGTGATAAGATACTAGATGAAATGCATGCATCATTATTACCATAAGTATTTTTTGGAGGGGTAAGAGAGACACAGTTGCATGTCAAGTTTGCAAGGTCTCCATACAAAAAGAGTCCTTATCTTTTTGAATATGACCTAATGTTGTATTATGTTGAATATAACATAACATAAATAACATAATGTGGGAGCCAGCTGTAGACCAATTCTGAACCCATTTCTGCAGACTGCAATCATACTTTACTTGAAGAGACTGTTCTAAGAATACTGCTAATAGAAGAAAAATTACCTAATGATTTTGCTGGTACATATTTGAGTGCTACGCGGAAATGGCCTTTATTGACAACTGCTTCAGAGATGTCAGGTGTCTGAAAGTAAACAAATGTTGAAGCATAGAAAATTAAAAAACAACTATAAAAACAACTATAAATACACTATAAATAAATCATTCCAATACCATTCGTATATCTTAGAGATAAAGATCCTTCAACCATAATTTAGAGAATTCAAAAATCTTTACATTTTTAGGAATAAATTGACAGTAGTTCATATAATAACAAAGTATAAACAATCCCGTTGGCTCCCTGTTGTTTGGAGGAATTCTAATTACATGTGTTTGAAATTCATAGAATTTTCGAGTCACAATACCCAGTAACAAGTTCCCAATAGAGTGCTTGTTCGCTCTGCAAATTATAGGCTTTCATAAATATTACAATTCAAACCATTTTCTGAGAAATTCCAATTCAAACCAGGCTGAATCTCAAGGATTGATTTGACTACTTGTATAGTTATTAGGATCTGGATGACTGAATGGTGATTACTTGAATGATTAAAATAGGCATCTCATGCAAAAGGCAATTGTTACCTTGGATTGCAAATCATACCACTCCAGCTCACTGTTCTTCCAGTCCCAATTCTTCATGTCAACTTCAGTTTCTCCAAGGTACACATTTCGACCAAGAGAATCGTTGTGCCACACAGAGACATTCAGTGTTCGTTTGAAAAGTTCTTGTTTGTTTATGTTGTACTGAAAATAGTGAACATTAACTCAATAAGCTTTAAATACACCATGAAATATACGTACACCAGAGGTGTATGTATTGCAGCCATTTCACATTGATCAATTCTTAGGATTAACGGATAGAATGCCTGAAACTCCAGCTAGTCTTACCCCAATAGAACAAATTTGAAATTTTGCAGAATTCTGGAAAATTCTTAAATTCCTTCTTAAATTGGAAGCTTGTTTTCAGCAGTTCTTAAAAAGAAACAAACTTCCAAATGAAGAATGTCAGTCTTTACATTAGATTGAATTTGATATCCTCTCTTAAATAAATGCATCAGAAACTTTACTTCTTGTTTCCGATCCATTTAATTATTGACCAGTCTAAATTTCATGCCACGATTTAGCATTGCATTTATATGAATATGTAGGATGAGTACTGTTATTGTTAGATGCATAACTGTACCAACTATGAGTACAAAATATCATCCACTACTGATAAGTTATTTCTTGTATGCCTTCTAAACATGTTCCCCTTGAGAAAAATGTATGTATTTATAACATGCACATTTTGCATTACTAGGGTGTGTGATAAACAGCCTGAAAACACTGAAGTTTAAACACGTTTTAAAACCTGTATTGGATTTGGTACATTTTTGGAGTTAAAAAAGATGGTAATTTAGTGTTCTCTAGGGCTTGACTCCCAACCAGACAAGTCAACTTCCACCCCCTCCCTACCCCCACCCCACACTCCGACCACTACCCATCCCTCATTTCACACCTTTGAACCTGTCACCCACTCCTCTGTCATCACTGCCATATCTTCCATTAAGCCCACCACCTGCTTCCTGGACCCCATCCCCACCCCTCTTCTTAAATCCCAGCTCCACCTCCTTGCCTACTACTCAGCAACATCATCAACCTCTCCCTGTCATCTGGCACTGTTCCTACCCCCCTCAAAACAGCCACTATCACCCTCACCTTGAAGAAACCTTTCCTTGACCCATCACAGCCACCGGCCCATTTCCCATCTCCCTTTTCTGTCTAAGGTGCTTGAGAGAGCCGTTGCCTCCCAGTTTCGCTCTTTCCTCTCCTACCACTCCCACCATAGCCCCTCCGATTGGGTTTCCATGCTGACTACAGCACGGAAACTGCTCTGGTCAAGGTCACAAATGACATCCTGACCATGTATGGCCAGGGTTCCCTCTGCCTCCTCGTCTTCCTCAACCTCTCCGTCACCTTTGATACTGTGGACCACTCAATCCTCCTCCACTGCCTCTCTTCCCACCTCAACCTTCAAGGTTCTGTTCTTGACTGGTTCAGGTCCTACCTTTCACACCGCCTCCACTTCGTCTCTGCAAACAGCTTCTCCTCCAGCCCCTGCACCGTCTTGTGTGGTGTTCCTCAGGGCTCTGTCCTCAGTCCCCTCCTTTTCACCCTCTACATGCTCCGTCTTGGTGACTTCATCCACAGACATGGGGTAAATTTCCACATGTATGTAGATGATACCAACTCTATCTCTCTGCCTCCACCCTCAACTCCAAGACCACTGGCGTCCTGACCGACTGCGACATCAAGTCCTGGACGAGGGACAACTTTCTCCAACTGAATGTCAGCAAGACCGAGGCCATCCTGATTGGCTTGTGCCAGTGCCTCCGCACCTCGGGTGCTGGCAGCATCAGCCTCCATGGCTGCACACTCAACCTCACTGTGCCAGTCAGGAACCTGGGTGTCTTGTTTAACCCTGAACTGTCCTTTCTCCCCCACATCTGCGCCATGACCGGCACTGCCTACCACCACCTTCGAAACATTGCCAGACTCCGCCACTGCCTCACCCCTCAGGCTGCCCAAACCCTCACCCACACATTTGTCACATCAAGGCTCGATCATGGAAACTCCCTCCTCATTGGCCTTCCCAACTCTTCCCTTCACAAGCTGCAGATCATCCAAAACTCTGCAGCTACTGTACTCTCGTGTACCAGGCTCCACGACCCCTGACCTGCTGACTCCCTATCAACCTGCCCGCTCCCAACGTTCAGCGGGCTCCGGCCTGCTCCATATCTCCTGCCCGACCCGCCCTATCATCAGTGGCCGGGTTTCAGCTCACTGCCCCCACATTCTGGAATTCCATCCCACAGTCCCTTCGCCTCTCTTCCTCCCTTGCCTCCTTCAAGGCCAGTCTCAAGACCCTCCTCTTTGATCGTGCCTTCAGTCATCCTCCCACCTCCCTGCCTTCCCTCACCCCTACCCACCCCTCCCCCATACTCAGATCCCGACCCCTGACTGTCCTGCGCCTTGGGACGTCCTGCCGATGTGAAAGACGCTCTATAAATGTAATTTTGTTGTTGTTGTTGTCTGATGATTGTCAGAGTTCTACATCTCTTCAATATGCCTCAATTTATCCAGCATCATTTCTTGGATTGTGGCAATGTCTGTCAGGGATGGGAACTGAGACAATACTCTACCTGATAAATGTATATAAATGTTACTGTTATCAAGTTATCACTTGAGCTACCAGACAGGATTCTGGTAAGGCATTCTGCTTTTTGATGGCTGGGAGGAGGAACAAAGGATAATCTCATCAGCCAAAAATAGAGAATAAATATGATCATTCTATGGTCCAACCCATTCAATCAGGCTACATGAAACAAAGAGCACCTGCGAGGTAGAAATGAACGAAAATGCAGCTTTTGTGTGATTTCAACTAACTTGCAAAATATCTACCAAGCCTCAGTTTTACTCAAACTTACTCTGAGAATTTCATCAAACACAGGGTTCAATGTGCCTTTGTTGACAGATGTCTTCCTCTTGCTCGGTTGTGTTCGGTCAGGAAGAAGGTAAGTCTTCACATACCTGTTTTAAAAGGAAACATTTATATCTTCAGCAACAACAACAACTTGTATTTATATAGCGCCCTTCACCCATGGTAGTGTCCTGGAACGCTTGGATACCTTCAACATTCTCATCTCCATTTTTGTCATATAATTTTCCTGGAAACCATGAAGATAGAAATTGTCCCAGTTAAACAGCCTTTTCTTCTGGCTCATTTTCCCAGGATGTTTCCAAACACACATCCACATTACAGAAATACAATTTAGCAAGAACAGAGGCTTGAAATCAATGCTCGAAGGTTTAGCTTGCCAGAAAGCAGCAGAATTACACATAATACTCCAAAAACAACCTTGCGTAAATTTCTTGCTCTGAACATTGTTAAATAGAATCAAGGAACTGCAACAAAATTGAGATATTTTTGCTCTAAGGCACACAGTAAGTCTCTAAGTAGATTTGCTGATGATCTAATAAGATCAGAGATATCTAACTGCCTTTCCTTTTTCTGTCTGATTGATGTAATCATTCAGAAGAAAATATATGAAAAATAAAATGTAAGCTTGATTGTTAAATATATTACTTTATATTATCCACAGCCAAAACTCCACCTAAACACTCTATCTAATTAAATCACAGCAACAATTCCAGGTAGGGAATTGGTGCTACTTATAGATAGAGTATCTAACCTATCCATCCAATTTCCCAAAACATTCAAGCACTTACTTACAATGCATTGAATCTTTGGTTGTATTAGTAATTACCAGATGCTTTAAAATGTTGATAAAGAACTGAAGTAGTTCCAAGTTGGAGTTATGCAGGTTTAAGATTTTGATAGGGTAAACATAGGGAATATGTTTCCACTGGTTGGGGAGATCAAAACCAGGGGCCATCAATATAAAAATAGTCACAAATAGATCAAATAGGGAAGTTAGAAGAAATTTCTTCACACACAGAGTAGTGGAAATGTGGAACATGCTACCACAAGGAGTTGTTGAGGAAATAGCATAGATGTATTCAAGGGAAATCTAGATATATACATGAGGGAGAAAGGAATAGAAGGTTATGCTTAAAGGCTTAGTTGAGAAAGGGCAGGAGGTGGCTCATGTGGAGCATAAACACTGGGCCAAATGGCCTGCTTCTGTGCTGTATATTCTAATATATTCTAATGTATGTATGATGATATAAGTCACATGGTTGACAAATCTTGAAATTACTCATTTGGCAACAGATCCAGTTTTATAGGGTGTGTACTGAGAATATTGTGCATTTTATGGCTATATTGACATTGTGCTTCTCAGATGTTTTGATTGTCTTGTGAAAAGCATTATTCTTACAATCTTTTTAGTCATCTCATGTTTCTATAAATATGTGTGAATCTTCCATGAAGATGATTTTGTTTGTCTTCAAAAGCTTCTTAAAAACCTATCTGGAGTTCTGTAGCTCAGTGGTTAGAGCACTCGCTTTGCAAGCGAGAGACCTGAGTTCAATTCCAGGCAGGGCGAAACCTTGGGTAAGTTTCCTTACTCCATATGCCTAATAATAATCCCTCCAAAAACTAAAATAATAAACAATAATAAATTGGTCATTTTCAATCTACGACTCTTTGTGGGACATTGCTGTGCGCAATTGGGTGCCGCGTTTGCCCACAAATATACAGTCAATTCACTTTACAGTGTGTTCTGTGTAGCGCTTTGGGACGTCCTCCCGACGTGAAAAGCGCTATATCAAAATGCAAGGATTATTATTATTATTATCTCTTTGACAATGTTTTTTGACCAGCACCCTCAAATGTTCCTTCCTTCAATTCCTGATCAGTGATCATCCTGATCATCATCACTGTGAAAATCGACAAGTTGTTAATCCTAATGTGAAAGGATCTATATAAGTGCAAGTTGCTGTTTCGTGATTACCAGGGGCAACACTCACCTAAAGGAGAAGGGCTAATCACATGACTGAAACAAATCAATGATCAGGGTTTCTATTATTTGCAATGTTTTCAATTCAGTCTCTCCAACCTTCCTCCCTTTGCTTTTGTAGTTTTGGCAGTATTCAAGGAGAGGGGATTAGCATCAACCGCAGCCAAATATGCACAAGTTCAGATTGAGGTTAATCTCTGCATCGTGCAATCTAATTGCACCATGCTACATGCTCCCTCTTGGTGACAACATCCGCAGATATGTAAACTTCCACGTGTATGTGGATGACACCCAACTGTACCTCTCCGTCTCCACCCTTGACTCCAGGACCAATGCTGTCTTGACAGAATGTCTGTCAGGCATCAAGTCCTGGATGAAAGCTAACTTTCTATAGTTAAACGTCAACAAGACTGAGTCCCTCTGATTGGTTTCCATCAGCGCCTCCACACCTCAGGCACCAACAGCATCACCATCCTTGGTTGCACACTCCACCTCACTAAACCAGCCCGGAACCTTGGATGTCTTGTTTGACCCTCAACTGTCCTTTCTATTCCACATCTGTGCCAAGACCAGCTCTGCCTTCTCCCACCTCTGCAACATCACCCAGCTCCACCACTGACTCAACCCTCAGGCCGCAGAAACCCTCATCCACGCATTTATCACATCTAGGCTCAAAGTGCCAACTCCCTGATTGTCGGCCTCCCCAACTCCTCCCTCCACAAGCTGCAGATCATCCAGAATATTCCATATTCATCTGAATATTCCATTCATGGTGTGCTGTTCATCTAAATATCTTATTGTGATGTGTTATTCATTTGCATACATATCCCATTCACTAGTGTATTTGCACCTGCATATCCGATTCACAATGTTTTGTTCATCAACATATTCCATTCATCAGTGAGTTGCTTATCTGAAACAGTGAGTTGTTTATATTCTTGGGTTATTGTCCAGCTACATATCATATTCATGGTATGTGTTCATCTGAATATCCTGTTCATTAGTACTTTGCTCATCTGCATATCTTATTCCTCAGTGTAATGTTCATCTTCATACCTCATTCACAGTGTTTGGTGATTCAACATTTCCCATTCATGAGTATATTATGCACCTGAATATTATATTCAATATCTGTAATCTAAATATATATGCTAATATATATTTTGTGTTGTTCATCTCTATTTTGCATTTAAGAGAGTGTTGTTTATTTCCATATCCTATTCAGATGTTGTCATTTCAACATTTTTTTAAAAACACCAAGGCATAGTCTGTTCCATGCTTTCCATGTGGTGAATTAATTCCTAGGAACATAGGAAAACAGGAGAAGACCAGTCAATCCATCAAGCCTGTTCCATTAATTTATTAGATCATAGAAAATCTTTCATCTTGATGTCCCATCCTTTCACCATAGCCCTACTTATAATCGTTTATCCTCTACTTCACAGGTATCTGTCTACCTCTCATAGGGACATAGGAACAGGAGTAAGCCATTCAGCTCCTTGAGCCTGTTCCGCCATTCTAATAGATAAGTACCTCAACACCATTTACCCACCTTTACTCCATATCCCTTGATACCATGACCTAACAAAACTCTGTTGACCTCAGTTTTGAAAATGTGAATAGATCCAGGATCCACAGCTTTTTGGGGGAGAGAATTCCAGATTTCCACTCCCCTTTGTGTGAAAAACTGCCTCCTGATTTCACTCCCAAATTTTAAGATTATACCCCCTTGTTCTGGATTCCCCCACCAGAGGAAATAGTTTCTCTGTAGCTACCCTATCAAATCCCTTTATCATTTCAGACATCTCAATCAGATCACCCCTCAACCTTCTAAACTCAAGGAAATAGAAACCAGGTTTATGCAGCCTGGCCTCATAATTTAACCCTTTATGCCCTGGTATCATTCTGGTGAATCTGCCATGTCCCCCTCCAGAATCAATATATCCTTTAAACATCCGCATTTTGATTCTGCCTCCACAGCTTTCTGGGGCACTGCATTCCACATTTTCACAACCCTCTGTACTGTACAAAGGAATGCTTCCTGACCACAGTTTTAACTGTCTAGGAAATTATTTTAATTCTATTCCCCCTTGTAATGGTTCCCTCTACCAAAGGGAACTGGTGTCTACCATCTAAGCTGTCAATTCCTTTCATCATTTGAACCTCCTGTGCTCTCGTTTCTGGGACAAAATACTATCCCAGTGTGCTTATATTACCAAACAGAACAGAACAGTGCTTATCCTCTCAATTTATTCACTGCATCGATGAATAGGAAAGATTACTATCCCCTTTGCACGTATCAAGTGCTTTGGGACATCCTCCCAACGTGAAAGGCACTGTATACATTTAAGTTCATATTATATTGTACTAGGAGTGAACCTATCACCCGCACCCGACTTCGCTGGTTCCCCATCTCCCAAAGGGTAGAGTTCAAAATCCTTGTCCTTGCTTTCAAAACCCTCCACGGCTTTGCTCTTCACTACCTCTTTGACCTGCTAACCCCATACCGCCTGTCCACTCTCCCCGCTCGGCGAACTCTGGCCAGATCCTTGTCCCCGCTATGCTCGCCCTACCATCAGCAGTTGGGGCTTCAGCCTTTCAGCCCCAACTCTTTGGAACTTTATCCCACTTTCCCTTCACTTCGCACTACCCTTGTCTCAAGACCTTCCTCTTTGATCGTGCCTTCGGTCACCCTCCAACCCCCACCCTCCTTGCCCTTCACCCCTCCTGATCCTGATCCCCAGCTCGGCTGCAAATCCTTGACCGTCCAGTGTCTTGGGACATCCTCCCGACCTGAAACGAGCTATACAAATGTAATTTGTTGTTGATTTTAACCATGTTTCTCAAATAATGTATTTCTCATCCATTGAATTCTTCTTGAAATGAAACAAGTATGCAATTAACTTAGCTCCATATCCGAAGGATAAGCAGAGATTGATATCAAAAGACATCAGGACTTTGAAAAAGTTTCTCCTTTGAAATGTTAGTTAAAAGCCATAACCCAATGAAGCCTTCCCAACGAAGAGATCCCAATGAAGTGTAATGATAGTTATTTAATAGAGTTCTTCTCAGGCATACAAATCATTTGAAAGAGCTTTGAATGATTTGCATATATAATGGAAAACTTTTCACATTTCTGCATAAGAAAACTGGTTGAACTAACACAGCCTGCTGAGGTTATCAACTGGTTCACTTGAATCCTAGCCAAAGAAATGCTTTGAATAAAATGTAGGAAGTTTAGTTTTCTATTTATATTTTCTTTCTACTCACACCTTGAATGCTCTGCACATCTCCTAGTCATACATATTACAGGCAGGTAGTCTGACCATTGTTTACTATTCTCAATGAACACTTTGCTTTTATTTATGCTGTGTAGCACAGACCAGCTCCACACCAACATCTAATCATGGTTGACTAAGCTCACTTAGTGAAGGCAAACATGCAGCTCATCTCGTAACCATTGCGCACATTTTTAGAAGGAATTCGATTTTCTTGCTCAATAGGTCTATAAAATATCAAAAACAAGCAATAGAAAACAGGAAAGATAATGGGGAAGTGGAGGGAGGAACACAACTTGAACAGAATTAAAGTTTTTAACACATTTTAGTTGCAGTTAATATTGAGCTTTAACTATGTATTCAATTGGAAATAAACCTATGCATGACATATGACACCTGTTTCAACAATGTAATAGGGTACAATATCAAATGCAAGGATTATTATTATTATAAAGGTAAGTTTATCACTGGAATATCAGTGTTCAGTTCAAGGGAAAACGTGTGATGATGCACTGTTTTTAACTAATCACTGAAAAATGGAGCCAGTCAGTATCTGAACATATCTACTGATCCACATGTGCAACCCCCTCCCACCAAAGTCCATCACCATAGTTCGGCCCCAAACCCACTGTGCTGCCCATTGGCTCCCTCTAAAATAGCTGTTCAATCTATGGGCCAGCCGTCCATTGGATAACACGGCAAGAGACACTTCTGCACTTTTTGGGGGATCAGCTGGGTATCTGACTTGCAGAAACCCATCACACAGAAACCTGTGCAATTCAAAATGAGAATTCAGTTGGAGAGGTTTTCGCATGCAGTGATTTAGAGACATTGCATAGCTAAGTGGATTCTAATTGGATCGTAATTAGGGCTATTTGATAAAAGGCTTGAAGAAACATCACTTCTAATTAAATCTGTTTAGGGACGACCAGACATATTATTCAGTTACAAACAACATATCTGGTTATTCACGGTGTTCAACTGGTTCAATTGGGTTTTTAATAAAGTTTAACAAGAAAGTGCTTAAGGAAACTTTTTTTTATTATCTCTTGTGAATGGTACATTGTATACGACCACCACATGAAACCATGTTAAAAACAATGTACATTTCTCATTTCAATATGAGGCAAATACAAAGCCTATTGATTGTTTCAGAGCTGAGATATAAATAAATCAGAATCACAAATAATTCCCAAGTGGAATAGATTTGATAAATACTTGAAAAATAACTAAGAATGCTATTTTTAAAACACATTTACCATACCACCGCCCCACCCCATCCATACCTTCACGAACAGCCCACACTCATTGCCTGGATATTTTTTATTATCTATAGATATCTGTATCTATTCCGAGAGGAAAGGAAAGCAATAATTGAGGCTAAAATTGCAGAAAAATATGAAGGGGCTGTTTAAAGAAGCTAATTTAAAGTCTGGATGTGGAGGGCCCATGCACATATAAAGGCAAAGGCCTTTAAATTACTTCAAAGCCTTTGCTTATGCTCAATAAAAAAACTGTAGTAAGTAATAAAGTTGCTCTTATTCCTTTACAATTGTGGTTGGTAGAAATCAACGTTTATTTTTCTGATTTTATGTTGGGTAATATTGATGATCATTTAGATTTTTTTGATTTTTAGTGATTTGTTTCATTGATAAAAATAGCCAAATGGGTTGCCAGTGTGCCTCAACAAATAGGAAGTAACATTAGCAGTACTTCCTGCACAGGAAGAGAAATCCACGATATGATGACCCAGGAGCCTACCATTTTTGTCATCTAAAAATAATAAATATTGATAAAAATAGATTTTTAGTAATAGATTTTTAAAAATAGATTTTCTTGCATTGCAAAACATCCCAAAATGTTGAATATTGATGCTTACCGATTTTTATCTATTTCCACTAATCCTACTTATAATAGTCAATAAACTGTACATGATTGTCAGACATTCCTGGGAATGTGATACATTGGTTGAAAAAGTGTTTGAATGGCATAACTGCTAAAACGGTGCCTTGTGGGTTTTCTGCATTGTTACTCTGATTTGTGACCCCTTGGTTCTGACCAGAAAATCTAATTGGAGCTTAAATCTAATGAGTCAATGTGAAGTTTTGGTGTTTATTTGTAGATGATAATAATCCATGCATATGATGCAGTACATTTCACATTGGAACAATGTCTCAAGGCACAACAACGTTTACTGTAAACTAGAATAACATCAATAGCACAGTACACCCAATGAACACAGTTGAAACACATATCCAGTTTAGTAACACCAGCCTTCCTTCTGTTATCAAAAAAACTTGTGTAGTTCAATCCAATTTTTCCCCCTAATACAACAACAAACAACAACTTGATTTATGTAGCGTCCCTCACGCAGGCTAGCGTCCCAAAACGCGTGACAGGGGCAGAGCACAACACCTAGCCAGGGGAAGGTGGGAGGTGACCATAGGCACGGTCTAAGAGGGAGGTCTTCAGGCGTGATCTAAAGATGGAGAAGGAAGGGGCAAGGCGGAAGGATATAGGAAGAGTGTTACAAAGTTTCGGGGCGTAGTGGCTGAAGTGTGGCCACCAATGGAGGGCACGAGGAACATGCAGAAGGCTGGAGCCAGTAAAGCGTAGGCAGCGGATAGTGGGTTGGGGAGTAAGCATATTGAAGAGGTAGGGAGGTGCCAGGGCTGAAGGGATTTGAATACGAGTGTGAGGATCATGAAATTGATCCGTTCGGCAATAGGGAGCTGGTGGAGCTTGGATAGAACTGGTGTGATGGGGGTGCAGAGTTTAGTATGGGCGTGTATGGGGGCGGCAGAGTTTTGGATCAGCTGGATCCTGCGCTTGGTGGAGCTGGGAAGACTGGTAAAAAGGGCATTTGAAAAGTCGAGTCGGGCAGTGGGTACTTCAGCTGCGTCTGGGGTAAGGTAAGGTCAGAGGTGGGAAGTGGAGAAAGGCAGTCCTGGTCAGGCATCGGATGTGGGGAAGGAAAGACAGCTGTGGGTCAAACCTGATACCTAGATTGCGCACTGGTTTGGTAAGTCTGAGGGATCTTGAGATGGGTCTTGAAGGTGGCAAGGGAGGGTCAAGGTGGAGGGACCTCGGGATGGAGTTCCAGAGAGTGCGGGCAGAGTGGCAGAAGGCCAACCCGACAATAGTGCGAGCGAGGTGGGGTACATGAAGCAGGCCGGAGCTCACTGAACAGAGGGAGCGAGCATAATAATGTAATGAGGACAGGACGTTGATGGGAACCAGGGAGTATGGCTTCCGTTTTGTCAGCATTTAGTTGCAAGATGTTTACGCTCATCCGGGCCCTGATGTCTGTCAGACAAGCCGACGGAACATTGCCAGACCTGGAGTCGCAGCTGGAGGAAGAGGCAGAATATTTCAAACTATTTTATGAAGTAGCTGACATTTTATTTGGCAACACTGGTTTGTAACTATGAAGGTCAGACTCTCCTTCAGACCTGAGCGTACATACTGCTTATCAACTTTTTAATTCAGTGGTGATTGTGAATTTCATCATCCTGCAAGACCAATCAAGCAAGTAATAAACTGAAAATCACAGACAACCCCTAACATGCCGAATGAACGGAAAAGCCACACAGCTTAACCCCAAAAATTCAAAGCTTTGCTTTTTCATTTATTTTCCAATGCCTGCACATTTTCAAATGAATGAAAGACATCAACCACAAATATATTAATACATTCAAAGCAGAGCAGGATTTGAGGCAAAGCATATCAAAATTAACCTGATGAATTTAGTACCTTTTCTGAAGAATAACATTTCTGTTGGGTTAGCTTTTACAATTCAGTGCATGATATTTTAATTTATATTAAAATACATAGAATAATCCAGATTTCCTTCTTGATTTAAATAACAGACAATATTGAAAAACAGAGAACGTTACTTACGGATCAGAGGTACTCTTTTTTATATTAGCAATGGACAACCCTCGGCACTGTGCCACTTGGATCTGGAACTCATTTTTTGCTTCTTCATATTGCAACTTGAACTGGATAGCTCCCTGGATTAGGACATTTCCAAAATCCCCAGCATCACTGTATAGGCTCAAGAAACTACCGCTCAGCTAGAGGAAAAAGGATGTATGTTTCAAGAACCGATTTTAAGCATCATGTTTTAAGACTATAAAACTATTCTAAGACAAAAATGGATGCAACAGTATGTTAAATTCCAAATTTACTGATCGGTCCCAGTTTATCTTTTCAGCTACTGAAATAATGGCCACAAAATCAGATGGATTTCCTGGTCAATTATTCTTAAAAATGCTCTTGTGAATGGTGAACAAAAAGGAAACGCATGAAGGCAAAATAATTAAATACAGGATTGAAATGGGGTGAATAGATTTATGATCAGCAGATTGTTTGTTCCGTGGCCATTTTCATTTTATCACAGCTGTTGCATTGGATGAATTGTGCAGACTTGTTACATTATGTCAACCAATGAATGTCTCAGTGAATGTCTATTGATGTAGTGATCTCTGGATAATATTGTTCATGATTAGTTTGAAGCAGAAGCTAAAATTTAACAATGGAAGTGGAAGTCTGGCTGTCTTTCTAATGGAATAAAACAGCAGTTTTCTATAAAATGTACATTGGGTTGTGTTTAAGCAGACAGTGTTGTAAATTTAACAGATGTATTACCAATTAATCCTGCTAAATTCAATCATTATAATGTTACACAGTCTGAATGGACATTGAGCACACGCAGTATAATTTTTAGTTAAAAAAAAAATTTTTTCTGCAATTTATCCTCTTTACAAATGCTGCATTTGAAATATTTCCTATAATTTCTCTGTGAATGAGAGAGCCAATAGCCATGCATAATACTGGCATTTACAGGGTTATAATGAGAGATGACTGTGCTGATAAATATGGTACATCAGTAATTAGCGACGCATGCAAATCTTGTACAGAATTCAGTTTAACACAATGCTTTTTGGGCAGCTGGGACTTGCGGAAACCAAACCAAACCCTAGAGAAACATACCCCATTTATCTAATCCAGAAAGTATTAGATGCAGGCTTGCAAGAGATACTGCTGGAATCTAACCAGCTAAAACCGCGTAGGTTACAATTGAAAGTAATATCTAGAGAGATTTCCTGCTGCTTGTACAGCTAGGATCACTCTTTCCATTAGTGCTTTTGCTTTCAGGATTAACAGTAACTGAGTGGGAGGATTCCCTGCCCCCAGTGATTGGTTCTGCCCTTCCAAGTCCTGACAATGAGCCAGGCTGACTGTGCTGAGGTTGATACATTCCTTTTATTCTGTTGCCAAGCATGTCTCCAGTTTATCTCCAAGAACACTCCACTAATTCCTCTCTCCCTCCCTAAGGAGGATAATAACATTGGACATTCAACAAGCGCAGCTTTGAGTCCTCACTAGGTTAACACAAATTCTGAGTTACACTATTTCAATGCAGTCTGGTCGAAAGGTGCTGTAGATTGTATGTATTGAAAGCTTGACCTACCTTGGAGTCACTCAAATTTGTAGGAATGTGCACACTGTTTTTTTTCAGGATATCTGATCCAAAGCTGGATTCAGATGTTTCAGTATCATAATCATAATAAGGATCCTCTCTTTGCGGCTCAGGCTACCAAGAAAAAATTAACAGAACAACATTATTTTGACATTGCACACATTAAATGTAAACTCAAAATCAGTATTTTTCCCATTTATAATAAATACACCCAAACGAAATCATATTTTCAAATAGAACATTTATAAACGACATGTACGCTGATGGCTTGTTTTAGGTTGGCTTTTGTGCAGAGTAACTTCTCAACAATTATCCCAAAAGGATCTGTTTGTAGCAGAAAGTTAGCGTTGATCATATTTTTTGTACAACAGCTATCTGAACTAGTGCATTACAAGGAGCTTCTGACATAAATCGCATTCTTAGATGTTACCAACAACTAAACTGTCCAAGCTTACCTGTAGAAGAGAATGAATTGCTGCTTTACTGGCAGTTTGTGATATAGGAGATTCACTTCCTTTGGCCTTGAGGTTTGAACGATCATCATTCGGTCCTGAAATCAGGAACAGCATTTATTCAGCTAGAGCACACTGCAAATAAATCTTACATGCTAGAGCTCACATCCATTCTGCACAATTACATTGAAGACAGCATTTGAAGCCTTTACAACACCAAGCTCTGCCAGTGAGTACACCACTAACCTTAGTAATTAATGGCAAATACAAGCCTAAATTACCCATTTAAGTATTTTCCAACCAGAAGCTTCACTGCCAAATACAGCCAGGTTATTTTGGGGAAAAGCGCAGCCAGTTTTGTAATGAATACTGTAGAGCATTAAATACTGCATTTATTATTTCAAAGCTTTCTGTAAAAATGGTCAATTTAAACTGCTGAAAATAAAATGAAATAATTACCAGCACTAAAGAGATAGGGAATGGGTACCCCAATTTATACCTCACTCTCATAATCGCATTGTCTGGTATCAGAAACATACATTTCACAGCACTAAAACAGGCTATTCAAGCCCACCAAGGCTATGTTGGTCCCAGCTCAACCACTGCACCTAACTACTTGGATCTTAATTCACTACTCTTTCCTCATATACATTTATATTGTTCAGTAAAGTCCTGCAAATGAGAGAGAAGGGAATGCATTCATGAGAGAGAGAGGCGGGGATAGAGAGACTACTTTGGAAGTGTGTTTGGGAAGGGTGGGCATGGACTAGTTGGGTTAAATTGCCTTTTTTGGTTCTGTAGATTGTATGCAGTTCTATATAAGTCAGCCCATGGACAGAGCTCCTACCAGGTGTGTTTATAGCACAGTCAGCGGTTATTAACTTTAACATTGGGAATTTGGTTTGTTGTATGGGGTCACCTAAGAATTTTCCAGGCCAGTAGCCAAACAGACTTATAATAATATAATCCTTGCATTTGATATAGAGCCTTATCATGTCTTTGAGATGTCTCAAAGCGCTTCTCAGAATATACTGTAAGGTGAATTGACTGTATATTTTGTTAGTTGATAGGCAGATCGCTTTTCCGGGGGTAACAATTCCTTCCAAAAATAATGCTAATAATAATAAATTGGTCACTCAATCAGCAACTGCCGTGCGCGATTGGCTGCCATGTTTCACCTATAAAATTTACAGTCAATTCACTTTACTGTATATTCTGTGCTTTGAGAAGTCTCAAAAATTTGATAAGGCGCTACATCAAATTCAAGGATTATTATTATTATTCTGTATTCACATTGATCTGAAATGTGACCCTGATTATTACTCCAGCTAAATGAATGAACTTAATTAAGTAATGTAGGACCGTGAAATTAACAACTAACAATTTAAGGCGCCAAAAGATTAACAAATGGTTGAACTGGTCCAACAGTAATACTGAAACACTTTGAATATTTTCAAATTGTATTAATAAAACCTGCATTTGATATATCACATTTTATATCAGCTTGAGGTTCACAAAAGTAATTCCACTTTTTGTCAAAATGTGCACTGGGATATTTCACTTTAATTTTAGCACCCAACAAGACAATGACATCTGCATTATGTCAATCACCAGGACCATAGCCGTATAACACTGAACATAACTAGAGGTGCCACCATTACACAAAACTGTGCAAGGTGATTTATGTATTTTAACCTGGATTGAACTGAACCTGGATACCCTAAATAAAGACAATTAATGCTATTACTGGCACGTTATGTGGTTTAGCTGGTTAGACTCCAACAGTACCCAACACACACTCTGGGGTCCCAAGCCTCAGCTCTTGCCAACCTAATATTTTCCAGAATTAGGTAAGCAAGATGTGTCACTCTGAGGAGAGAGTGTGCATTCCATTCCAATAAATATCTCTGGAATTTCCATGAATAGGTGGGATACATAGACCCCTGTTTGGTTTGGATATTCTTAAGCATAGTGAAGGGTTTCCACATGGTTCAGACTCCCGGCTGACCTTCCAAAAATAAAGGCAAGTTGCATATTGCTATTTCAGGCAGAGGTAGACAGGCAATTTCAAGTCAGGCACAAGAAAATATGCCTTTACACAGAGGGGCATCAACAACTGCAACAGATTTCCACCAAGGGGATTCAAGTGAAGTCAACTTCAGCCATTTTTGACCACTAGACATCATTTGTCAACCCACCACCACAAATCAATAACTTATAACATCTTTGACTTTATCAAATTATTATAAAATCTATTTCGATGCGATTTTGTCTATCTTCAGTATTTCTGTTATGCTTATTTGAAATCATTCAATTTCACGTCTCATTAGCTTTTGAGACCAGGAATTTTAAATTTTGCTTAAATGTAAAGTTTAGCTGAGCTCCCAAAAGGGTATTCAAAGCTAATAGAATATATTCCATACCCTTCCTCTCCGACATGCTGGAATAAGTCATTACCTCCCAGCTTTGCTCAGTCCTCTCTCAGTACTACCCGCTCAAGCCCGTCCAATCCAGTGTCTGCCCTGCACACAGCACCAAGTCTGCCTTGATCAAAATCAACAATTACATTTTCTCCATCTTTGAAACCATTGTTTTCTTAATCTCCTTGATCTCTCTGCTGCCTTTGACATAATAAACCACTCTATCCTTCTTCAGCATCTCTCCTCCCTGCTCCACCTTCACGTGTTTTTCCTTTCCTGCTTTCACTCTTATTTATCCCAGCATCCTTACTTTATCTCATCAAATGGCTTCACCTCCTACCCCCACATAATCAAATGCGATGTTCCTCAGTTCTCTATCTTCAGTCCTCTCCTTTTCATTATCTATATTTTCCGCTTATGGAATATAATCCATAGTCATAGGGTCTATTTTCACCTGTACACATTATTATTATTAGTTTTATTATTATTATTATTACACAGACGATATCCAACTCTATCTATCTGCCTCTAACCTCAATTCTAGAACAACTGTTGTTCTGACTAATCGCCAATCAGACATCAAGTCTTGTACGAGTTCTAGCTTTCTTCAGTTTAAACATCAGCAAACCGAGGCTCTCCTGCTGAGCTCCCATCAATGCATTGATCTACACAGATGCACACTCTATCTCACAGAGCTAATGTAGAACCATGGGGTTCTGTTCAACTCCAATTGCCCTTTAAGCCCTAAAGCCACTATATTAAATGCAAGTATTATTATCTTATTATCATTTGGACAGATGATGCTCAAGAAGATCTTTCTATTTTAATGTCCTCATGCCGGTATCAGTTAGCCTGGAATATGGAACTCCTTAGTTCCACTGAAAAAGGCACTTATATTGTGTCCAAGTAGCTAAAGCCTAACAGAATACTATTTCCTCTGTACTTCTCTCCACCTTCCAGGAAAGTCAAGCATTATAATGTGAGCAATCATGGTGAGAGCTGGAGAATTCAAGGGAACTCTATAAATCTTCACCTTCCCAATTTCTGAATGACTCAGTGGCCAAATATGCAGATGGCGTGGTAGTCAGCCACACATACCAGGGAAGATTTGCACTGAGGTACTTGATGTCAGCCACAACGCCAATGGGGTCAGTACAACTTATCCATGGTTAAGATGTGGTGGGTGCGGGGGGGGGGGGGGGGGGCGGCGGTAACAAAAATAAAACAGCAAGTTGTCCTGGTTCAGATCATTATCCTGAAAAGTATGAGTACTTGATAAGATTAGTGACTAGGCTCAGTTGTGGTGGCACCCTTGTCAAATAGCAAACCAAAACAAATGGTGGAAGCGCACACAATGAGGAATGTTCAGTTGAGTGTACTGCTGGATCACAGCCAGAGAACTCACAACCATGCATTTAGGAGAGAGAAAACCTTGTACAAATGTATATGTGTCAGACTCCCGGCTGACCCCCCAAAAATAAAAGCAAGTTGCACATTGCTATCTCAGTTTTTATATAAAACGCTTATATCCAAAAAGGCACGGATGAGATTTCAATTGAGGGATTCAAGAGAGAAATAGATAGATACTTGGGAAATAGAAAACATGAGCATACAGTGAGGAAGTGGGATTAAGGGAAGTACTGTAATAGTGAGTCGTACCTTAGAATGGGCCGTGCTGGAGTGGGCTGTGATTGATTAGTTGGCTTTCTCCTGTTCCTAAATTCTATCTATTCCTAAATACTGCTCCTTTATTTTGAAATGATTTTCAAAATCAATCTTTATAATTCTTACTGCGCAGTTACAGGGGTAAATGTTTCCATTCCTTCTGTGGCCAAAAAGAAACAATGTACTTTGGAGCTTTTACACTTTCCTGCAAACTGCTCCATTTACTGTCCTGGATACTGGTTGACCGCTGTACAAAGGCAAGGATTATTATTATCATTAATATTATTATCTGTTTTGATACCAGTTACGTCACCGGTGCTATCTGATAACTGTAAAATGGTTCATGCAGAAAATCAGGGGGTTAGCAAGGACTCATCTTGCTTGCCAATTTAAAACCCCTGAATAAGATCTCCCCCTTTCATTTTGCAGACTGTCTCAGTAAACCTTAACGCTCAGATCTTATTATTCAACACTGAATCGATCATTTCCCTAGCTCTCCTCTGCTCCATTTTTCTTTCTTTCAAATTGTATATATTTTTTAAAAAAGCCATGAATATACAGTCTGACAATAGATTATAGTTGGGGAAACTTACAACCCGCTTCATTTTTCATTTTGTTCCTGGAACAAAAATTAGCAAAACATAAGAATTCTAAAAATGTTTTTTGATGATAAAACATTGAACCATGAAGTAATTGGTTGATGTGTTGACAGACAACCAGCCTGGCTCATCAGCAGGACTTGGAGCGGAGCACGGATTTTGTTTCATTCAGCCCCTGTTAACCTGCAAGCCAAAGCCCTAATAGGCATGGTGGTCTTAGTAGGACAAACAGCAGGAAGCTTGTCAAATAAGGCTCTCAATGTCAAGCGAGTTTTAGCTGGTTAAATTCTAACTGTATGCCAACACACACTCTGGGGTCCCAAAGTCTTGACTCTCATTTACCTATGCCTGATAATTTCCAGAATTAAGTAATCAGAATGCATCCCTCCAGGGACAGTGTCTTCATTCTATTCC